TCTATATCAGTCCTTTGCCTACGCAAGTCATACTGTGCAAGCTAACATATGCACTAAACGCGGTGCTTGCTTTACAGCTAGTGGTATCAATTACAATGCGGTTCCATTGCCGACCGCTGTGCTACTTGGCCATACAGCTACACTCCACTGCAGCTTCCATGACTTGTCCCCAGATGATGCTGTAACTTGGGTGAGGTCACCTGGAAGAGCCATTACATCTGGTCGGAGAGCGGACCCGAATTACTCACGCTACCAGGTCTTTTTGAATACTAGTAACATTTAATCAATACCATATTGTTATCATAAACGCGCAAGATAGCAAAATTCATACGTATTGTTTTGTTGTGCAGTTAGAATCGATGGCTGAAAAATTAACAGATATGGGCCTCAAGTTTCCTTTTTTAAGCCAAATGTATTTTGAACTCTTTCACATAATAACTGTTAATCTCTCAGGTTGTTGGTGATGAAAATAAAGGAGAGTTTCATTTACGAATCGAGGACGCTCTCATAGAGGATGGAGGTGCTTACACGTGTAACATCTTGGGCCTAACGCCTAAGGAAGCAAAGTTAACTGTAGTAGGTAAGATACATTCGGTTCAATACTATAGTTCGCTTTTGGCAGTACTTCATTGATCTGTATTTTGAATGAGTATATAACTACACATCTACATAGAAAGTGATAATCAAACTGTCCTTATATCAGTCCCTGTTCCACAGCCTCCTACACTGAGAGGTGCAGAGGTACCAGGTAAAGCGGGACAGCAGCTTGAGCTAAGTTGTACCTCTTCAGGAGGTCATCCCCCGCCTCAACTCACCTGGTACAATGGGACTGAGGCATTTACAGAGCAACATGTGAATAAGAATGAACGCGAAGGTGAAGTAGAGCTTAACCTTATCATTCGACGTCTGACCAAATGGGATAACGGTATGAACCTGACCTGCAGAGCGAGCCAATCGTTTCCGGAGATAACTTCTGCTCAGGAGGCTTGGACTGTTCTGCAGGTGCACTGTAAGTAATAAGTTAACGTCTATGCTGTAAACAATTTTTTTTATATTTAAGAAGACTACATGAATACAAATTATAACTTATTAATTTTTTTTTCTTTTCTTAGATCCTCCTAGTGTCTCTGTTCCTATTCCATCGGTTCGTGTGTTAGAGGGGGACACGGCAGATCTTACCTGTCTGGTTGACAGCAATCCTCCTGCCACCATCAGCTGGACAAGACCTGGTCGCCCTACATTAGTTAACGGCAATACCAGGTAATACTAAATCGAATAATATTAACTTTAGTTGAAAACTAACAATGTGTTAAGGATTGGAGAACCTCCTAGTTTTTTGACATATTAAAAACAACATCTCATGTAAATGATTGTGTTATTTTTTAATTCTTATATTGTTTCCCAGGCAGAGGATATTCCGGATTCCTAGAACTTCCCGACAAGATGCAGGAGATTACCAATGCACGGCAGACAACGGTGTACAACCTGTAGCTGTAGGGACTGTGACTCTAGAGGTTCTGTGTACGTATGACAAGTTACATGTATATTAATATAAAACGGAATTTGACGTAAAAGAATTATGATAACAGTGCAGATCTAATAGGTTCAATTGCGCTGTACAAAACTAACCTTGCTAGTTAGAATTTGCAATCCATAATAACCTACAGACGAACACAGGAAAAATATACAGATTGCTGGTACTGCATACTTTTCTACATATCGTTTAAACATTTGCCAAACAGACCCACCCTTGATCAACCCCTCCATGGACGACAAGACAACCGCTCTCCAAGATGATAATGACTTCTCACTTAACTGTCTCGTCGAGGGAAATCCAAAACCTAAAGTAACGTGGAGGCGGAAGGATACAAAGTTGTACTGGAAAAACCCACTCCGATTCAACCGGGTGCGCTACGACGTGGAGGGGACGTATCAATGCGTAGGAATAAGCGATGGATTCCCTCAACAGACAAAAGATGTTTTCGTCGATGTTGTGGGTTTGTCACTTCGCTATTTATTATACTTTAAAACATTGACATACAGATTGCCATAGCAAATGCACATTGAACGCGCAACGTGTATACTACCTTGTCGCACATGCTTGAGAATCGTGCAGCTTCCAAGATTGCTTAAAATGCAACATTCTTATTTTTATAGGAAAACCCTACATGGAGGGAGATAGCGACACGGCAATGCTATCTGCAGATTCTGGAGAAACAGTTCGGCTTGGTTGTACAGTAGCAGCTGACCCATTGCCCTCTCGCATCAATTGGATATGGCGAAATAACTATGGGCTGGAGACAGACTTAGATAATGCTGATTTCGAAATCGTCACGGCCAGAAGAAATCAGGAAATGACGTCGTCACTGACCATACAAAATGTGGCTGTGAAGGACAGTGGAAGCTACATCTGCAAGACAACTAACATGTTTGGTTCTGCCAAGCGAGACATGCACTTGGAGGTTAAAGGTAGTAAAATGCTCTCTTACAACTACATTTATTTTTTTAATACTTTACTTCTGCGACATTTATATTGTCGTTGTAACAAATTTATAGTATGATAAGAAAATGTACAAAAGTATCCGTATAAAATCTGCTCTTTAACTTTTGCTTGACAGACTCAACCCCGAATCTTGTCATCATAACTTCCATCACTGCTGGAGGGGTTCTAGTGGTGACAGTTGCAGTCATTATAACAGTCATCGCGAAGAAAAAAGGCTGGATATGCAAGCCCCAACTTGATGGTATGATTATTTTTAAGCTTTTATGTTTCGATTCATGATCGAATGACAAAGAATTCTAAATCATCTGTAGATGTTAATTTACAATTTTGACAAACAAGTGTGTTCTAGTATAACAAATGCCTTCTTTGTCAGACTCGTTTGACCTGTCAGCCCCCCGCCCGATGCCTCCTGTCCCGAAGTACGTGTACAAGACCGGCACCATTGACTCCGGTGTGGAGGACCTACAGGAGCTACAGGAGATGTACGGTACTCTCAAACCTCGTCCTCCGCCACGGATGGAGAAGAAGTGGGAGTCGGTTGGGCTTTCCTATTCAGGTAAATAAAATTATCTACTGTTCATACGATAAATGTGTTTATGTATATTTTTGAACACTTGCTTTTCAGTCACACATTTTCAATTCAAACAAATCTTTACCAACACAATGCAGGACTAGTCCACTCTACGTCCCTTCCACCCTATTCCACTGAAGAGGAGTAGCACGGATGTGGCTATCTTCTCATCAATAATGCACACATTAATTAACAGGTGGGGATTTTACAGATATTGGTTAATTGACATGACAAACCGTGCTTACAATACAATCCGTTTACAGGTAGTCAGGATAAAATATTGGTAAGATGATGATTAATGTTATCTAAATTTGAAATAATGATAGTGTACCGTTTTAGTGATAGTCACCAGGTGATGTGATGATGATAAGTTATATCAAATGATATCCTTGGCCTGAATATATACTTGCAAGCATATACCTGCTATTATATTTCATATTGTAATGCCTTATTTTTTCTATATATCTCCTAGGTCGCCGCTTTTGGTTATACTCCTGCGAAATTGGCGTGCCTGTATACGTGTGCTGTTAATTTGGGGGTCACCAACATTTGTTGGAAAGTGGTGTAAACTTTTGACTATTAGGGTGGCCTAACGCTAGGAGAGGTAATGTCTCTTATTGAAAGGCCAGTCGTTATTGAAATCGATGATTGTCGAATTCTAGCTATAGATTATATTTGGGGAACTAGATGTGTACTTATTATGTAAGGGACCTGTACCTTGGTGTACATGTGCACGCTCATTTCTGAAATGTTTGCATTTGTAACACCCTTTAACAATTTACGATCTACTCGTATACGCAAACATATTAATACACGCGATAAGTGCTCAACATGTAAATTTTAGAGATAATAATTTAAAAAAAAGTTATGTGATACCGATGTTCTCAGACATAACATACATTGAGCGACCTATGTGCTCTTTTGGTACTTACTCATTATACAGCGTATTTGGACGTATATAAATGACTAGTAGATTTCACCAATGAGATGTGCTTCATGTCAATCAATGTTAGTAAGTGTAACGTAAAAGAAATAAAACTAACGTGATTGATTGCTGTGCACCTTCTTGACTCCTGATACAATTTCCATTATCCATTATTCAATACGATTACAGTTACTATGATTGATGTAATGTAACAACAACAGAGTCCATTGTAGATACTTTATTTGCAAAAGTAGAAATTGAATGTCTTTGTCTAAGATCGTAAGTGATGCAGTTATCGATGGACCCCAAGAAGTCTCGGACCTTTCTACTCCATAAAACATACCACTAATTCATCGTAATTTGACGACGCTAAAAGTCCTTTCTTTCTATCAATTCAGTTTGATTTACAGTAATGGATGGATACAGGTCAGAAATAAAGGACAAGAGTTATAACTACAATAACACGCTTTAGCTGCAGTACAAGATGTCATCGCAAGTGGCCTCACTGACAGTAACATTAAAATATCGACTACTAACCGTAAATGCAACAATCTAATTTCAAAGAACTTAATTGTTAATTAAAACAATTCCAGTCCCTCTACTGCTGGCATCTACAAAAAAATGCTAAATGATCTACAAGTAAAAAACTAATTTCCCATTGTTTGCACATAAGAGAAACCTTCAGCAATCGTTTTTTTTTCTTGAAATAAGGTGACAGTTTATCGATAATTTCATGAATCTAAACAACATTAATCGCCTGCCTACCTCGGTAAGAATAACAATTGTTTTCTCAGATACATATGCAGGCTTCTGCAAGTTCATGATCTCATTGTCCCTGGAAGTTGTGCACCAAATCATTAGTAACTGACTTAGGCCATGCATTATGGATGACATAATGTAATTGGAACACATTACTTGGATTCCTCCAGCCGAACTAATGTGTTCAGCTTTCCCCGAGGGCTCTGGAACGCTTTCATTTAGGTCCTGGGTCTATGGGTGTGCGCGCACTGATACACCCTGAATCAGACTGTGAAATGCCAGACGAGACGCATTCATATGCCTTTTTGCTTCTCGAAATACCATATTCATACGCCCTGAGACGATTCAGTTTTCCCCATATGCTGTTTTGTCAGTCGCGGCATCTAGACTGATCCGGGCGTCGACTCACCATTTTGCCACCAAGCTGCTAGATGTAAAACTAGACAAGATGTTTAGTTATTTGAACGTCTTTATGCTTTCTGTAGCCGGACTATTCACCCTTGTTCATCAAGGTAGGTGCTGCTAATCAATATTTTCATTACAGCTAGGGAGAACTGCTGTATGGCATTGTCTGCACAGGGTATCAGTGAGGGAGGGTAACATGTCAGCATATCGTCCTTATATTCTTTAGACTAACATAATTTTGGCAACAAATGGATTTCATTGATACAAAATTAAGCACAGCGTTGTTTCATTTCTAAAGACCTGCTGCTTTGTTGTAATTCTAAAGACCTATCCCTGATCGAACGCCATGTATTGTTGTAATAAATACGTATAGCACAACCGGTCTGGGTCTGTAGAGGGCGTCTTCACCGCAGCGATGATGCTCTTGTTGCCGCAATGACATACTTTCGTAGAATTAGAAACGCTTTATGACGATAACATGCTGGTTTAATAATTATAAATTCTCATTAATCATATAATTGTACATTAGTCATATAACACTGGCTATGTCACTATTATTGGTAAATAAGCAGTGTTAATACTTAAATATTATTATATGATATGACATGCCCAAGTCGCGTTGAAATGCAAACTAATGTACCTTTTCATTCATTAAAAGAAGTCATAACATTTCTCTGAACATGAAAACAGTGCACACAACTTAAGTTTATATCAAAT